TTTTTTTTTGTTGTTGTTGTTCTTGTTTCTTTTTCTGCTCGTTAGGCTTGGGGTCGCTATGGGAAATCCCTTTTCTAAAATTATCCTTTCCCATAGCGAAAGAGTTCTCTATAGTATAATAAAACAAACTTTATCCGCTGACAATTTCTCTTTTTCAAAACGCTCTTGTTCTAAAACTGTCCTGAAAAGATTTATAAAATGGATTTCCACTCACTTTTCCAACTTTAATAACCAGACTATCCTTTTGGATTCTTTCTGGGACACTGTTGGCACGAAAATCTATGAATGCCAAGCAAATTCTGATTTTTCTGTGACCTCTTTCATTCCTCTTTTTCAACATAAGAGCAAGACGAAAACTTCAACGAAGTACTGTCCCTACCCTCTCCCCACTTTCTTCCCTCCTTATCCCCTCCCCTCACACACCACCCCCGATCCTCCAAAATCCCTTGTCTCCAATTCCTCGGCTCCTGCGTCCCCCCTTTCACCCCCCCTTCCCTTACAGCGGTGCCCCCAGCCCCGTGCCCCGCCCCCACTCCCTATCCCTAAAAATCCTGTCTCCATGGAAATCGACATTCCTGTCACACATACACAGTCATCTCTCCAACTTTTCTCCCCGCTCCACCCCTAAACCAATACCCACCTTCCCAAACCCCACATCCAGTCCCGAACCACCCCCCCCACACCCTCCTCAAACCCCAGACCCCAGGAGAAAGGGCCCTGCTTCCAGAGTGGAGCAGCTTGTCTTGGGAGGATTGCACCATGTGGGAAGGGAGAGCCACGTTTGCAGCAGTTTTGGGAGGACTGTGTACCTGTGGGAAGGACTCACCTTGCAGCAGATGTGGTAGAGGTGCTGCTCCTGAGAGTGGAGCCATGCTGGAGAAGTTTACAGAGAGCTGTCTCCTGTGGGAGGAACCCCTCACTGCCTCAGAGGGCAGGGCTCCTGTCCCAGAGGAGTGGAAACAAATCTCAGTGATGAGCTGACCAAAACCCCATTCTCTGTCTCTGTGCTGTCAGTGGGAAGAAGGGAGGGGCTGGGGGGAGAGAGGATGTTTTAAGGGCTTATTTTATTTCTCATTATCCTCCTCTGATTCTCTTAGTAATACATTTCACTTTGCAGCTAAAGCTGAGCCTGTTTTGCCCTTGAAATATTTCTTGGTCCTTATCTCACTCATGAGGCCTTCGTTAATGCTTTTTTTCTTTTCCCTCCTTTGCCCAGCTGTGGTAGGGGAGAGTGAGTGAGCAACTCTCATGGGTGCCTGGCCTTGGGCCAGTGTTAAACCACACAACTAGGTTGCCTGAAGAGTCTCCCATCCTTGGAGATAGTCAAATCCAAAGTGGACAAAGTATTGGGCAAACTGTGTTACTTGGCCCTGCTTAAAAACAGGGGGTTTGGACTAGACAAGCTCAAGTCATCCCTTCCAATCTCAACAATTGTGATGATCAGATGCAGGTGTCTGAGACAAATTTTTCTATATAGATGTAGGTTTTGCCTCTTGGATCTTTTGCTGATTCACTTGTGTTTGGTACAAGTAGCTAGAGTAGCATGGAGTCTTGTAAGAAACCCTCTGGCCTGAGATGTTCCTTGTGTTAACCACCATGTGGGGGGAAGGAAAGGACTTTGTTTCTCATTGGGAAAAGCTGTAATGGTAGTCTGTGTATTCTTTGACTTGTAATTATTTTGTACTCATTCTCTGATTGGCTTTTGTTTCTGGCTGCTGTTTTTTGGCCTCTTCTCCCCCAAAATAATACTAGGGAAAACGTGAGTAAAGCAATATTGTGTTATTCTACGTGTTTTCCTGGTATTGTACAATGATCCTGACTGAAGAAGGAAATTAAAAAGTGTATAAAAATGTACAGGGCTGTATTTTGAGATTCCAGAGTCATGTGTAAACACTGCTAAGAGTGATCCTGGGTAGGAGCTCTGCTGTGTGCTGCATGCTCCCTAGAGAACACCCAGCCTTCAGCAGTCCTAGTGGGTTAGTGATGTGCTGTGTCCAAATCCGCTTCCAAGCGTGCCTGCTTTTTCCTGTTGACCTCGCTGGGAATTGCCAGATAGCTGTAACTTGGTGGCTTTTTTCTCCCTTCAGATACAAAATGAGACAGGGTTGTCCTCATTGTCACTGGCATTCTCTGACATGTAGAAACCTTTGGTTCAACATGAACTCTCTCCTGAAGGACGGTGACATTAAGAACACTCCTGGTGTGCGCTCAGTTCATATGTTACTCTGCTGGCTGCCTGCTGTAATTTCCGGGTATTACATTAGTTCCTCCTGCTCTAAACGAATCCAGGCTCAAGGGCATTTGTGGTTTGCACTTCTGTTGAGCAGGAAATGCAGAAGAGTTGAATGTTTTCTCCCTTCTCTCCGCAGACAGCCTGCCTGCGTTCCCCATTGCCACCGTGGCAGGGATAGCCATCGGTACGGTTACAGGTCTCTCATCGCTCATCTCTATTGTCGTGTGTCTTGTCATCAGAAAGAACAACTCTAAAAAACGATACTCTGGGTAAGAGATTTCTCTCCTCACCCGTGAGGAACAGCAGGAGGATCAGAGGGAGGGCTTAAAGGGGGGTAGCAGGAGTTTCAGCCAAGCCTTGGCTATTGTCATGTAGAACTATGATCATCTGCCTTTAGTGATTACCTCTCTACTGTGCTTGAAGAGACACCTGAAAATCACTAGGTGTTGAAACTGATCCCCACACACAAGGATATATGCCCTCAGAGCATTTAATCCAAGACCCTCTAGCTCTATCTGTTCCACTTCCTTCGAGCTCTGCTTTCCTTACCACCTCCAAAGGAAAAGGACCACACATGCACTTTTCAGGAATGCTGTGTGTTGAGATTAGGACTGGATATTTCTGTTACCAGTGTCTGCCTCCTAAGCCTGGACTAAAATACTTGCCAAAACTCCCTTTATCACCCCACTTGAAAGTAAGGAAGGAGTAGCCACTCTGCATCCGTTCTCATTCACTATATGTTTTTTGTTAACTGATACCATCCCTGCAGGGTTTTTAGTGTTAGGAGGAGAACTCCGAAGTGAAGCACAGTTCTTTGAGTGGGCATATGAAAAAGCAAGAAGAACTGAAAAAGACAGATTAGAGTCCTGTGGTGATGAAACTTGCAGCTGGTAGAGGAGGTGCTTCCTTTTTTCTCCTCTCTAATTAGCTGGTAATTTGCTTCTCTAAGAAAGAATGAAAATTATGTATGTTGTCTTAGGAACAACCCCAAAACATACAAGTTTCTTCTGTTCTTTGCCCAACAAATATTCCTGCTTATTGCAGGTTCTTTGGGTTGCCTGTGAGATTAAAGAAAATAACTCCAAAAATAAGCTTGTGGGGATTTCCAAATTAAACTTTGCCCTATCCTTTTCCCAGTTGGAGAGCTTAGACAAAGTGAGTTGGCTATTGCCCAATGGTAAGGCTAAATACAGCAAGGGTGGCTGTGTGTGCTCAGAATTGTGTGGAAAGCCTGGTTTTCCCTTTCTGCATGTGTCCTTCCCCTAAGAACTGAAAAGAACCCTGCAGTGTCATGCACCAGCAGTGTGCCTGAGGTGGCCTGCTTGCCCTGCTTCCCACTGACCTGCTCTCCAGTGTCTTCCTGCTGGAGGACACATGTTGGTGCTGAGCCTGGAGCAGTAGTTCATGCACTGTGATTTCTTGTAGCAGATTTAACTACTCTCTTGGGAAAGTAATCTCTGAGGTTTAAATCCTGCTTTCACTGACCATGCCAGCTCTGCATGATGTGTAGAAAGAAACCAAGTGTGCTGTGACCCCCTCCAAACTTATGGACTGTCTTCTACATAATGCTAACCCGGTGTGTGGTGGTGGAGAGAAGCACTTACTCCTAGATAACCGTTCTGCCTTGAACTGAGGTGGGCTGGGGCTCTGCGTGGCATCTGGAACCCCTGCATGGCCACGGTTTCCATTCATGCTCTGACTTTGGTGGGTTTTTTTATTTCGTTCTGTTTTGTTTTTCTTTCTGCCTTGGTGCGCTGGGATCGGATCCTGCTTACCTTCCTCTCCTTACAGAGATCCTGATATAGACGCCAGATTGGGAATGTAACAGGGCTGGGTCTTCTCTTCCAGTCCCACTAGACACCATGGTAACTAATCAAATTGGTGGTTGCTGTTAATACCTGTGTGTGTGTACACATTTCCTCTTCCTTTGCTGACTAACCAGCTAGCTCTCTACTAACATCACTGTAATTTGTGCTGGAATCTGTTGGCAAAGGGATGTGCATTTCACTGGGTGCTTGGGTTTCATTGTCTCCTGTCTGACTGGGGTGGAGTTGTTGCTTATGCCAGATGGTGTCCCTCCATCTCTTCCAACAGTGAACTTGCCAGTGCATTGACTAAAGCACAGGAAATTCAGAGCTCTCTCTGTATCAAAATAAAAGTAAATTCCCTGTAAGCATTCCTCTGGCTCAGACAGCTTGGATGTTGGAATACTTGCAGAGATTTGAGTACATCAGTTGTTTAAGCCTGAATGATAACATTTAGATAGTGTAGATCTGAGGAGTTTTGTGAATAAAACAATTAATGATTACATAATTTTGGTAACAGAAGGGGTATATTTTCTCTGAGACAGTTGAGACCCCTTGCCATGATGGCTGGGGTAGTATTTTTTTTTTTTAATTCTAACTGCTGCATATATGAGGAGCTAAATCTGCTATAGTAAGACCTACCAACGGGTAAAAAATGCTTGCCCTGCAAGGAGGTGGTCTGTTTAATATCACTGTCCTTGTTTGTTTCTGTTCTCTATACATTGTCTACAAAGACTGAGGGAAAAGGATGTCCATTGTTCAGAGGGCATTCCTGTGACTGCTGCCAAGGAGGTGGCTACTTAACTCTTCTGGGTGCTGTGGTACAAAGAGGTAGACCTAGCACTGAGAGACTCATCACTGCATTGCCCAGAAGTCACCAACTTTAAGGGCATTTGCTCTGTGATATTAATTTTTCTGTCACAGGCTTGTTTTCTTTTCAGTCCTGCTTTAAGCAGATGAAAAGAAGCAATCAGAGGGTGAAAACCAGCAGCCTTCTTTTTAGGGGTGTTAGTTCTCACCACAAGACAGTTCTTTTGTTTGAAAACCAAGATTTGATATTCAAGTAGCTATATGAGGGCACAAAGCATAAATGTGCTGTGTGACTCTTGAGGTAATTGCTCCACAGACTGGTGTCTGCTGGGAGAATTATTTTGGGCTCACAGCAGAACTAGAAAAGCAAGGGAACTAATGCAGAGTTGGGTAGGAAGTACCTTGCTGATGTAGAGAGAGCTGGTGGCTCTTGAAAGTGTTGGCTCTACCTGTATCACTGGTGCAACACTTGTCTCAGTGGCTGGGATTGTTTAGCTTCTAGTTAGAAGATAATTGCTGTTTACCACTGTTACCACTGAGAAGAAAACACATAATTTTAGAGAGGCTGAATTGAATGGGAGTATCTAAGGACCAGGGGTTGTGGAGGAGCTGCTATCCTATGTTAATAGCTGCTCCTTCCTGTTGCTTACCAATGAAACTCAGAGGAAGGACAGAGAAATGTCTCGGGAGAGATGGAGAATTGTTTGTGTTTATTTCAGAATCCATTATGTTCATTTTTTTACTTTGGCGTAACCTGCCGCATTTCACCTTGCCATCATTCGTCTTTTGTTTTTTGTTTCTTTTTTTTTTTTCTTTTCTTCTTTTGTTTCGTCCCGTTTTGGTTTGGTTTTCGTGTGCCTCTTGAACATTGTCGTGCAAACTCTGCTCTGCCACCTCGTCAGCTGCAGTACCTCTGAGAGCTTGATGTCTCCGGTTAAGCAGGCTCCGCAGAAGGCGCCCTCCGACACAGAGGGCCTGGTAAACAGCGTGCCCGCCAGATCACACCAGGTAAACTGCTCCTGCTGCTCCTCCCCGAGGCAGGATTCCCCCCCAGCCTGGGGCAGCTGCTGTGGAAAACATCCAGGCAGGGTGGGATTTGTGCATTAGGGGCTGTCTGCCGGTAAAAGCACGTGTGCTGGGCGAGGGGTGTGCAGTAAGCTCTGGTGAGCTCTGCTGGAGAAGGTTTTGGTGCAGTTGAAAGAGCAGCATCTTCATATTAGCTGAGATGGAGTTTGATGTCCTTTTCATGCTAAATCATAAAAAACCACAGTTGTGATCTTGTGCGTTAACATACACAGGTGGCAGTGAACAGCAAGGATGAGGAGTGGTCAGTGAGTATCTGTTTAATGCAGACACAGTGCAGTGTCTATCAGATGTGGATCACCCCATAAAGCTTCCTGGTCTGTTCTGGGGTGGTAGTGGGGAGGAATTTGCCTTGCACTGATGTTTCATGTACTTCCTTCACAAGGGGAGGAGCCAGATGCTGACCAGTTTGCAGATGATTTGTGCTGCTGAGAGCTCTCTTCTGCTGAGCGTCCCAGCTTCTGTGGGCTTGAAAGTGCCACTCCTTGTGCTTGCTGCAGCTGGTAAAGTTCTGCTGACTTTGAAGGGAAAAAGTGGCTTTTATCCAGACTTAGCATCCCATGGGAGGGGACAGAGCATGAGTCACACAGGGATTCTATGCAATGGATCATTACCTGTTAGTACTACAGGATTTCCTTATTTGGAAGCTGTTTCTTCCCTCGTGATTTGAGTATTCCTAGCAATTTTCCTATAAAGATACAGGTCCTGAGACCTGTTTAAGTTAAAAATGGACTTTTTCTTAATTAGCCACCTTTTAGCAAGTGGCTGCAGTGTAGTGTGTGCAAATTAATACCTGTTTTCTTAATTTCTCCTGACAAGATAATGGAGATGTGTGTTAATGTTTAATGGGGAAAAAACCCAGTGTGCTAACAGTCAGCTCAGTAAAGTCAAAGCTCCTACTCTAGTGGGCTTCTGGTTGGTTTTGAAATGCATTTTGTTCTGGGCCATGCAGTATTTCCAAAGTTTTAGCACACAGGCCCACAAAGCTGCCTTCTGCCTTCAGAGAATAGTTATTCACTGAGGCTGTATAATCAGGATTTAAAAATAGTCAGATTTTGACTGACTTGTAGGTCTTGTAGCAGCAGGCTGCCTATAAGGCCTGAATAAAACTTGTCTTTTCTAGATCATGGGAGATGCTTTTGGAATGGGTGAATGAGACAGATGATTCCCACCATCACCCCTTAAAAAAAAAAAAAAAAAAGTTTTGCAAAACCAGCTCAATGGGATTTACGATATAGTAGCTGTTGGAGTCAACATCCATAAGTCAAAACCCAAAAAGATTTATTTAATTAATGTCATGGCATGAAGGAGTACTTGCAGGTGCCCTGAGAGCTACACACAGATGCTGTTCTGTGCTTGCATCTTGAAAGCAAAAATACTCCAATGTTTTGGTGTGAAAACTTGCAGTTTTCACTTTGCAGTGAAAAAAAAAACTTGCAGTCCTCACCTTTCCATGTCTCCAGGGTTTGAGTCTCAGTGTGCTGGAAGGAGCAGCAGAGTAAATCTAAACTTTGTGATGTTAACTCAGAATCAGGGTGCTTTTTACCCTTCTGTAGTCACTCCAGTCTGTTTCTACATTGACAGAGTCCTCCCTGCAGGTAAGTTTCTAAAGGAGAACACAAAGTGTGAACGCTGCTGACATCAACTGAAAAATACTGCAAATGGCTTTTGTTTCCTATAGTTTTAGTTTAGTTTTTAGATTTTTAATCTCTTTTGTCAGGCAAACAGTTTCTTTTTGTGGTAGACATTGTAGCAGCAAGTAGTTCTCTACCTGCTGTTGAACATTTACCCCATCTTTACAGAACAACTAAACATATTTACTTTTCTTTAGAAAGATCCACACTGAAATCAGGGTAGATCAGATTTTGAACAGAATGTTTAAACAAGTGAGGAAGCTAAGTCTCAGTTGATTACACTTACATTGTTAGCTTCTAGCCATTGTTTGGTTGTTTCTTTAAGGGTCATATCAGCATGCAAATCAACATATTTGAAATCTTTCATCATTTCTTAGTAATCGAGAAATGAGCTGTAGTATTTAAGCTTTTGAGGTGTTGTGCAGGTGAAAGGCAGATACTCATTCCCAGCAGTTCCCAGAGCTGTTGCAGGCTGTTTGCTGATTCAGGCACGCTCTTGGCTCTTGGAATGCCTGGTACTTTTAGACCAGTGGTTCCCACAGTCAGTGCTGTGGCCCAACAGCAGAGGCCTGTGGTCTTCCTTGCAGCTTTTTTACAAGGTAGGATGTGTAGGAAGTGAATGAATGCTTTGTACTTCACTGGAGGAGAACTGTGAATACAAACAAAACTGCCTCTGTGAGTTAGAAACTTGCAGTAGCATCACATCTCAGCTAAAAGTGCTGAGCCCGCACTTCCTTTGTGTTTGGAGTGCAGGTTACTCAGGTGTGGACTTTGCTTTCTGGAGTCTGCATATCTGATTCTGTGAGTGTTCAGCTGCTTGAGTCAGCTCCACTTGTTTTCACTGTGCCCTCCTTCTCAGCAGCTGTGTTCTGTCCTGTCAGATTTGTCTGTGCTGGTTCTTGTCCGTGCCATCATTCTCTAGTGACTGCTGTTCTGCCAGGGCTGTTATTTGTGTGGGTAAGAAACAATTTCCAGTGAAGGCAAGAACTACATGGATTTCTCATATGGATGTCCTTGTTTGGATCCCAGGGGCCTGAGAAGGAGCAGTTTGTGATGCCAAGAATCTTGATTGAAATTTCAGATAACTTTCCCAGAGCCTGAATCTCTGGTAGTTGCAGCATCATTCAGAATCTGAGAAATTTGAAAATTCTGTAGACTCCTGTTGGACCATGGTAGTCTAACTTTGTAATTCCTTTTTCTTTGCTGTAACCTGCAATTCATGACTGCTGACAAACCCTTGGCAGGTACACCTGCTACTCTTTTCCCTTCAGTTCTGAATGGAAAAATTGCAAGGCTTCAGAAAATGCTGGTTTTATACAAACAGTGCTGGTCTGACTTCTGGTTCTGAAGAGTTAGGATGAGCTTACTTGGGATTAGATGAAAGTTCTGAATTGTTTAGACTGTTTTAAAAATGGCCTAGGTGACACTTATAGTCAGCTAGAGAATCAATTGGCAGCAAATCATAGATGAGCACTGCAATAAATCCTTGGTCCCTCCTTTTCTCTGTATTGGCTATCTACCACTTTTTTTAGGTGGCTGACATTGAGACAATGATAACTTGGTTTGGATCAGGTGATCACACCAGTCAGTCTCTCCACACCACTAACATGCTGCTTGCAGCACAGTGACTATATTTAAACTGGCAAAAACCCAGCACAGTGGTAACTGATACTGAGTGAACTCAATAGACAATTGACCCATTAGAATTACTTGAACAAAATTTGGAATGTCACAGTGAGTACTTTATGTAGCTAGTTTTTTTTTTTTCACTGACAGTGCTCTCAAGCTGAATTTATCATACCCTTGGCCTCTGGCCTCAGGCAGATGAGATTTCCAAAACTGCTTGCAATTAAACTTCAGGGTTACTTTGCCTTGAAGTTTATATAGACACTGTGATCTGACTGGAATTAGTAATCTCACTACAGTGTTGGAGACCAGAAACACATGAAAGCAAATAGAAGAAAAATTTTTAAAAGAAGTGACTATAATGAAATTTAAAATGCAGAGTTTTCTAGGACATCAGTGCCCTTTTTTCTATTTTCTCAGTGTGTTGTTTATAATTCAGAGTTTTATACCTACTTGCAAAGTTTTCACCCTTCCATCCATCTTCTTCCTCTCTTCTTTATTACTTTGGAAATACTATACTCAGAAGGAAGAAAATGTGGATTTACATTACTTCTGAAAGAGAACAAGGTATTTATCAGGTGTGAGTTTTGCTGCTGTGCTGGGGGAAAACAGCTGTGTAGGAAGGTACCTGTGGTCCTTTAAGGGCATAATTTTCTGTACAGAAGGTCTGTTTTCATCTCTGGCTCATAATTGCTTTGGAAAATAGATGGAAAGATTTCTCTGTCAGGGCTATACAAATGTTTCCTAATTTGTCAGGATTCCAAAAGTGCTGGCAAGAAGAGGGTAGAGGAGTGCTAGTGAAGGCTACTTCTTCCTGGGACATAAGGGAAGCCAGAATAGTTAAGTGCATGAAAAGTTTTGAAGGAAAAACTGCTGAAAAAGCCACAACCAAACTAAAAGCTCTCTCTTTTTAATTGTCCCTCCCCTCATCCCCAGATAAGACAGTCCCTTTGCCTCCTGCATGGGGTGTGTGGTCTCTCTGTTGAGGTCACCTGGGAGGTGGCAGCCCCGTGCTTGTCTCAGTTGGGGAGTTCTCTTGCCATCAAGGTCCCACCTCTCTTGCTGGGCCTCTGCTCTGTGGAGGATGCAGTCCTGTCTCCAGTAGCTGCAGTTGGCTTTCCCTGGCCTATGTCTTAGAGGATGCAGTGTTTTAGGAAGTGTTCACACGTTCAGCTGAAAGACAGGGCTGTATTGTCCTTCCCTGCACCCCAGCAAATGTCCTGAAGCTGTGAGGCCATGCCTGCCCAAGGTGTCTGTGAGCTGCTGCTGCCTTCGGGTAAGAATTCTGTATTGCTGCACCATTTTAGCACTTCCTGGCTCACTGCTCTCTGAGTCTTGGTCCCACCACTGGCTTGGGCAGTGTCTGGAGTCACAGGGTGGCTGCAGCTTTATTCTCTCCCTTGTTATCCAAGTGGAACAGCCATGCTTAGTTGGGGAAGTACACTCTGCTGTTGACTGGTAAACCTCTAGTGCAGTTCCCCTTGAACAACATTAAATCTGGCATGCATCTAAGCCACGTGTCTTTGCTCCGTAGCACACGCAAGAATTGGTGCTTTTCAGAGTAAAGGATCCTGGATTTTGCTTTCTGTGACATCAGGCAGTTTTGGAGGGAGGCAAGGGTGCTGTTTGGCATGCTCCTGAGAGGAGAAAGGTGGCAGACTAGAGCTCACGTGCAGCTGAGGGTTCATTCCACCTGCTTCCAAGTGCCGTCCGCAGTCATTAAAGCTCTGTGGTCTTGCTTTAGCTTTCACCTTGCTGCAGCCCCCATGGAAGTGAGGGGCAGTGTGGCCTGCTGTGCAAAAGCCTGATTTGCGTGTTCCTTGTGTCCCCAGGGCCCAGTCATTTACGCGCAGTTAGATCACTCCGGGGGACAGCACAGCGACAAGATCAACAAGTCAGAGTCTGTGGTCTACGCCGACATTCGGAAGAACTGAGATCCTCAGCTATCCAAAGGACAACTCATGTTCAGACTGGAATTGCTTGAGCAAGATTTGACCCAGAGAACTCACATGTGGCCTTTGATGCCTAGGCTAGGACCAATGCATGTGCATACAGAGGGAGAGATATATATGTATTGTGTGTAAATAGTCTATTTAATCGTACAGAAGTGAGACCAATGTTGCATGTTGAAATGCGGTAAGAATTTTGCTTATAAATTGCCAATATTCTTTTTTTTTTCTTTTTTTTTTTTTGTATCTTGTGTGACGAGAGAGAAAGTGAAAACTCGCATCACAGTTTAAAAATATTTTTATCTTGATTATTAATGGAGAAACTGGAAGATTCCTGAAGATTCTAGATCGACCTGGAGATTCTTTTTTCTTTGCTTACAGGGCCTAATTTCTTTTGTTGAGGTGACTATAAAGAAGACATCTTCTTTATATTCAGAGTTCTTTATGTATACAGGGTATTTATCTTTCCTTGGTCAGATTCTCAATACAGGCTGCCTTCTCATTTAAACTAGACCCTCTCACTTGGTCTTGTAAGCCAAATTGTGACTCCTAGCTATCAGAAATGTAGGTCTTAGCAGTGTGAGTGAAGGAAATCTTTAGGCCTCCCTGACCTGTGTAACATGGGTCACAAAACTGTTTACTTCTCAATGAGCCCAGCTTTTTAAGTTTAGTCATTTAAGGTGCAGGGATAGTGTTGATCTAATGAATTTTGTGAAATGGTAGTTTACCTGTGAAAACGAAGGAGATAATGAGTTAAAGGCATAGGAGGCTGTAGCTGTAGGTGGTTGCCTCAGACTCTGTTGAACCTTTCAGTGAAAGACTTCTTCCTCAAAGCTCTGTCATTTCATGTAAGTGTTTGTCTTGGTTTGAAAGACAGGTGTCTGTTAAGGAAGGCAGGAGCCTCTCTTGAAATGGAAAATATAAACTCCCTTCCTCCAAATTATTGTAATTTTGAAATTAAGAAGCTCTCAGGCAAAGATAAGGGAATAGGAAGAACAGTTCTTTGCTACGAAAATTAAAATAGAAATACAGTAATACAAAAGAAACCAAACACTGACAGAGTCAGAATACAACCTGATGCCCTGTCAGTCAGTCAGGGTGTTGGCAGCAGTCCCATTAAATGGTGGCTGCATCCTCCTGCAGTGACAGATGTGGTTCAGTTGAAGCAGTGCTCCTGTAGAAGGGTGCAGTCTTCCTCTGAAGGTCCAGTGAGGAAGGGTCTGGTTTTCCTCTGGAGTCCAGTGGAAAAAGGCTGCCCTGATGTTCTAAATATCAGATTTTATCTAGGAAATGCTTGGCTCCTCCTCCTGGGTGGAGCATCTCCCAGTGGGATGATGGAATTTTATCAGTCATGCAGTGGGACTCAATGGCCCATTAACTGAAGATACCTCCCTGGAGGAAGGGTGAAAAATACAAAGATTACTGCCCCACCTGGTTTCAAAGGTGGTGATAGAATATGTACTTTTGGTTACATCCTGCTTTGCAACCCAAGACAGCCTTATAAAGGGCTCCGAGGGATCTGGAAGCTGCAGTAGTTGTCCCATGCCTCTCTCCCATGGCTCCATTATGCCACTGTCACCTCCTTGGAGGTCCTTTATCTGTTCTCAAAAGCCTGTAGTGGAGGCTGAGCAGCTTCTGGAGGAAATCTGGGGCTCTTTGGGTTTTTTTGATGTGTGGTGTTTTTTTGTTGTTGTTTTTTTTTTGTGTAACCAGTATTTGCACAGAAGATGAGGATGGGCAGATTATTTCCTTCATCTCTGCAAGTCTGCTGCTTGAATACAATTCTCCAGCCTCTTTTGTTTCTAGGTTAAACTCCTCCCAGATTGTTAAGGATCTCTGCTGATGAGGATTTCTTTTGCTGACCTACTGAATCCTGAAATCTGGTGCTCAAAACTAGAAGTGGCCTTCCAGCAGAGATCTTCTCAAAGTGGCATATAGAAGGATTTCTGTTTTGTACATCCTAATGTGGTGGTTTTGTTTTGGGTTGGTTGTTTGTTTGTTCTTTTTTTCTTTTTTTTTTGGGCAGCAAATAATTTTCAGTTTGGTCTACCATAACCCCTTTCTCTGATTCTTACCCATTTCCTAGTTCAGTCTGTTTGACAGAATCAGTCCCAGAATGGTTGAGGTTGGAGGGACCTCTGGAGATCATCCAGTCCTCCTCAAGCAGGGTCAGCCAGCAGGAGGCTGCCCAGTACTGTGCCCAGTTTTGAGCATCTCCACAGGTGGAAACTCTGCAGCATCTCTGGGCAACCTGTTCCAAACAAACTCAAGCTCACATTTCACTCTTAACACCAAGCACATGAAAAATAGTTACAGGCCCATGGCAGACCCTTAAACAGCCACATTAGATAATCCTTTAATTATGACAGTGCAATTTTAATAACTATTTTGTGTACAGTGGGGTTTTTTTCCTCCAACAAAGTTACGTATGCCAACACTTTCATCAGGATCAGACTTCACTGATTTCCTGACAACAGCTGCCTTTATTAGAAATCAACAGCTTTATTTTTGTATACATGCACTGGGTAGATCTTGGGACATTTCCCTCAAAGCCAGAACCAGCTTCTTAAAACTGAGCCTTAGAAGGAAACCATGGATTAATTTATTCTGCCATATGTCACTTGTTGATCCTGCAATATCTGAATTTGTGTAATTCTTCCAAGATTTGGCTGGTATCAAAAACAAGGGCGTGTTTCTGTTTTAAAGGAGGTTTTTAAGGCATGAGTTTTCAGGTATTTGCCAGGTCTCGTGGGGAACTGAGACACCAAGCTGTGGCTAACTAAACAGCTCTGTAAATATTTAGCATTTTATTTTTTGGCAATAACACATACAAGATGAAAAATGGACAAATTTCTTCTTCACAGGAGACCTTTAAATATCTTTTTCTACTTCATGGATTAAGCAGGGTTTTTTTAGCAAGAGTCCACATGAAGGGCTATGATGTTTGTACCCAGTGCTGGAAGCTGACAGAGCGGGACTGACTTACCCAGAAATGCTCAGGAGTAGTTTGTCCACTCAAGCTTCCATCTGTTGATAAGATTCACTGTGTTGGTTGCTGCAGTGCTCATGTTGGTGACTGTAGTCAGGAAATTCTTTACTCAGAAGACAGTGAGGCCCTGGCACAGGTTGCCCAGAGCTGTGGATGCCTCATCCCTGGAAGGGTCCAGTTGGATGGGGCTCTGAGCAACCTGGTCTGATGGAAGGTGTCCCAGCCCAGGGCAGGGGGTTGGAATGGAATGATCTCTAAGGTCCCTCCCAACCCAATCCAGTCTGTGATTCTGTGGTTCTATAGGATCCTCTCAAGTGCTGAATTCTGCACCTGGCAGCCAAGAGGGACATCTCTGTCCTGGAGGGCACCAGGTCCAGCATCAGCAGCTGGGCAAGGGAGGGGATTGTCCTGGGGTAGCCTCACCTCTAGTCCTGGGGACAGTTTTGGGTGCCACAATATAAAAAAGACATTAAGCCACTACAGAGTGTCCAAAGGAAGTCATGAGGATGGTGAAGGGACTGGAGGAGAAGCTTTCTGACAAATGGCTGAGGTCACTTGGTCTGTTCAGCCTGAGGGGAGAGCTCATTGTGGTCTTCAACACCCTCATGAGGGGAAGCAGAGGGGCTGGCACTGCTCTCTTCACTCTGTGACCAGTGACAGGACCCAAGGGAATGGCATGAAGATGAGTCAGGGGAGGTTTAGGCTGGATATCAGGAAAATGTTTTTCACTCAGAGGGTGGCTGGGCACTGGAACAGGCTCTCCAGGGAAATGGTCACAGCACCAGGCCTGACAGAGTTCAGGAAGTGTTTGGACAATGCTCTCAGGCACATGGTGTGACTCCTGGGGTGTCCTGCCTAGGGCCACGAGTTGGACTCCATGAACCTGATGGGTCCCTTCCAACCCAGTGTAAATTACAATTAAGATCAGAAGGAATCCTGCTGCTGCTGCTTTCCTTATCTATCAGGCTGTTACTTCCCAACATTTATTTTACACTACTTAATAAAAGACTAATGCTTTGGATGTGGTTGATGGAGAAACTTGATTTTGATCTTCCTGTGTTCATCCCTGTGCATCACCGTATTTCTCCCCCAGTGTTTTTTGAGTAAGAGGGAGAATTGTGATGAATGTGGTGATCAGAAACTTGCTGCTATGAGAAGATGGGGCTGGCCTTGCCTCTGAAGTCTGCTACTAATGTTTGCTTCTTTTCCTGCTGGAATATACTGGAGAATCTGAGCACAATTCTGATGTGGTGCTAACTTTAGGAAGCACACGAATCCGGTGCTAACTTTAGGACTGATCTGGTGCTAACTTGAGGAGACACACTGATGTGGCTGATCTTAACTGACTGAAGGAGATATCTCCTTGCATGGCTTTTGTCTAGCTACAGTTATGTTCATATTGCCTAGACTGAGGAGGTTCCCTGCAAGGCTTCTTGGGTCCTCTTTATGAAGGCAGAATGAACTTGGAAAACTTGGAAGTATTTTTAAAAAACATGAAGCATCTTTTTAGAAAGCAACAAAAGTCTTCCCCCAGGAATGGCAGAAATCTGTCCGAATCCCTCTCCAGTGCCAAGGCTGTTGAATTTAATTTTTTTTTTTTGTTGTCATGGAAAAGTGAGCAGTGTAATTATTAAGTAACATATTCATGCTGAAGTCAAAAGAACTTTAGGCATTGTGAGACAACACTTGTGAACTTTCTGTTCCTCGGGTTATCTGAGATGGTTTAATGATCTGATAACCTGTACTGATGAAAGAGACTGATGCTGAGTTGGCTTACTTAGTAGAGGCTTCAGGAGACAGAGGTCTTCTCTTTGTTGATGGGTAGAACAAGCAGAGATTTAAGTCAGACAAGGTCATCATATCCTGATGTGCAGGTGACCAGAAGTTTAACTCTGTTTGCTCTGGTGCAGTTCTCTTAATTCTCTGATGCTGTTCCTTGCAGGAGGAAAAGAACAGCTTGGACTTTAAAGATCATGAAGGGTGTTGTCCTTGCCTGTTGCAGCACTGCTGCCAGCTCTTTTTAGGATCATCTCTTTTAAAAACAAGTGCTGCATGCCAGGCTTGCAGCAGCCCAGAGGAGGAGCAGGCACCTCTCTTGAGGCAGTAGCCAGTGACTAAAACAGTTAGGGGGGGGTCATTGCTCCTGGATAGTGGACCTGAGAGGGCCTGTGTGATGAAATACTTGCAATAAATTCTCTTATATTTATCATGCAAACAAAACTGGGATCAATCTGAAATCTTATTTTTAATTACCATAAATTAATTTCGAGAGGATTACAAATACAGTATCAATCTAAGTAAATTGGTAGCTGTACTCAGTCCATCAGGCTTCCGTGGCCCCTTTTGACTTCAGCAGTTGTTCTGTGAGAGAGATGCTCACCATGTTCACAAAGTAGCATTAAGAACCATTACAAGGGGGCAGATATCCCTGTAACTCATT